TCGACCCTTCATAGCCCCCCCCCTTCCGATAGTCCGGCATATCTGATAATCCGGCACCCCCTGGGTCCTAAAGGTGCCAGATTATCGTAAGTTTACTGTATTAGGAGCTGCAACACCCATTTCAACTCTAGAGAAAATGTCTTGTAAAGAACAGCAGGCTTACAGGAGCACGCACTCTGACTTATCTGCGATACTGGTTATCCCTGAACAACAGACAGCAGCTACAAGCTTAAAATATCTTTGCTTTTGTCCACAATAAGAAATAATGCTAGTAATAAATGATCCCCATCCATGGCAGTAGAGGGGAAACCCTGCTAGAAACCACAATATTTTAAATGATTGCCACTATCATGGTTCCCATTCCAATGTGGCTAGGAGAAGGAAATGAGGAGAGTCATTATCCAACTGCTGCCCAACATTTGACAGAAAATGGTTTGGGTTAGAAAGCGAGGATGTCTTTGCTTTAGAAATGAAAGGGGAATCGGCATTTGAAGTCCTTTATTAAGAGGAAAATAGATCTCTATCAGCCAATGAAAATCAGATAATGGAGGTGCCACAGAGGCAGTATACATATTGTTTGTTAGAAATTCTTTATAAATAGATTCCACATAAGTTTGTTCTTTGAAATAATATGCAGAAATAACTTAATATTCATTAGCCACCTGAGAACCCAGCCACCAAACAGCATATCACCTAGAAAAAAAGAGAAAGAAAAAGAACACTTCAAACAAAAGAAGATTTCTACTGGATATCGTCATCAACAATTAAATAGCTTCCAATCATAAAAATCACTGTGTGAAGCAATTTGAAGACTATACTAGTGACAATTACTTCCAAAGTTTCTCTTTTGTAGCAACTCTAAGAACACAATATGGTGTCTTTGTAATGAAGGTGAAACACTAAAAGATGAAAAAAGGAAAGCTGAACTCCATATTTAAAGGAGCTTCAGGGGGTAGCCGAGTTAGTCTGTTATAGAAAAAAAAAAAATGGTCTGGTAGCATCTTTCTCTACCTTCCCCCTGGTCATCTGAAGAAGTGGGCTGTGCCCACGAAAGCTCATGATACCATCTACATGTTTTGTTACTCTTTGAAGTGTTACCAGACCATTTGTTGTTTTTTTCCCCCATATTTAAAGACACTATTGTTTTTAATCATTGTATACCCTCTCTAACTAGCCTCCCCCAAATCAAATCTATTACAGGGCAACTGCACATAAAGGCTGGATTGTGCATTGTCAGTATAGAATTACCTAGACCCCAGCAGTCCTTTCACCACTGCAAACTCTCTAAGAGGCCAGCAAGAGTTATTCTTGAGCCACTGATGACATCAGCAGATACCTGCATTTCACATGTATGGAGGTGCGGTGCAGGTAGTCCAGGCCTACTAGTGACACCTACTGAATTCTTGGACCAGTGCAGAGTCAGAGAGCTAGTAAGGAATATGGTCCCATGATCTGTACTCACCATGCATGCAGCCCCGCTGCTCATCTCACTCATACTTTAAACCCCAACGCTCTCATGCACTCCTTGTGAGCCTCAATAAGAGGCCCGCAGTGCTCCTCCCCTTTCTCAATGATGCTGTAATGCAAAAAGATTTCCATGGTTAGCTAGCAAAACCACGTAATACTCAGATTTGTAAGGCCAATGGACTCTTACACGTGAAGGTCCACAAAAAGTATCCATTTGCAACAGACTTTATAGTAAGCAGAGACTAAAATCTGAAATAATCTGATTTAATTTAAGGCTGTCCTTAAACTCAGATGGTTTGTTGTTTGACTTTCCCTGCCTGTTTTAAAATATGTAAAATAAATACAATTCAAAATGGCAGTAATTTCAAATTTGCTGTATAGTTTACACCAGGGAGAATTAACTGATATACTTCAAAGAGATTATCCTCATAGAGTTACTGCACACAGAAAGATAGCACATAGTAAAGACACAGACTGTCTTCCATCCTTCCCCATGAGAGTGACACCACTGGCTACCCTCAGTTAAGATGGCTGCCAGTCTTTTCAAGTGGAAGGGAGGCAGCCCGTAGTAAAATGGCTGCCAGCTAGGCTCTGTGGTCAGAGAATCTGGTCAGTACAAGGAGACGGGCAATGTTAACATTACAAGCACACTCATTAACCATTTTATTTTTGCTGCATTGCTGAAAACTCACTTGACACTAATGGTGGTTACTGCCAGAGCTGCACCTCCTTCCCCTCACCCTGGCAGTGGCTAGAGCTGGTGCTCTCCCCTCCTTCCCCCTCCAATGGATGGGGCTGGAGTTGGAGCGGGTCCTTCTCCCATTGCAGTGGCCAGGGTTGTCAAGCCTACCAACTCTCCCACCACCATCCCCTGGGCAGTCAGTCCCTCTCATGAATTTGTTTATTGCCCAGGAACTGTCTGTAACTTTTACTAAAAATAACTGTGACAAAAATCTTAACCTTTGCTATGTGACTTTAATTAGGCCCATAAAGTGCTAAGAAGTGACAAGTGTAAGACAGGAAGCTTGCACTGTTACAGAGCTTGCTTTGATATCCCAACACTACCATTTTCCCACAGAGAGGTAAAGAGTATTTCCCACAACTGCTCTCCCACTCATGATCCTGAGAAAAGTTAGTATTGCTTATGTTATATCAGACAGTGTTAGGCTTAGAAAACGGGATTCAGAGCACAAAATAGCACATAAAGTATACTGCAGAATAATATATAAGTTCTGCTGAAGGTAAACTTTTTATCCTATCTAACGTTAACACTGGATTCTCTTATTATCTACATAAGTGCTTTTTCAAATCCTAAGAATTTACCATGAAGGATATCTAGTAGAAGTTAACACCATTAGATAGTTATTGGTTGTGTAAAATAGCCTAGTTTTAAAGTGTCCAATGTAAAAGAGTATCTGACCTTTCCTTTGAGGAAGTATTTCATGGCCTGCCATGCCCCACACTCAGGAAGTTAGTCTGATGTTTAGCCTTCACTGTACTATTTTAATTTTTAACTACACTAGGGGGCTGTGCCCCCTGCTTGCTACCCTCACCAACCCCTTCTTTCTGGGAATAGGTGTGTGGCCAGGGAGAGGATGCAAGAGCAGGCTGGGGGTAAGTGTCTGGCCAGGGGGGCGGCGACAGGAGTAGGCTGGGAGTGCAGGGTCTCGACCAAGGGGGTATGTGGAGTCTCAGCAGAGTGTGTGTGTGTGTGATGGGGCTAGCGGCCCCCACGAGGGGGGAGGGCATGTGGCCCCTAGCTCCGGCCCACTGGAGTACCAGGGAGGGAGGAAAGAAGCAAGGTGGCAGAGGGAGGGGCTATGGGATGCAAAGTGATGTGATGACATCACTCTGTTGTCCCACAGGAAAGGGTTTTTTGTACACAGAGAGATAAGACAAAAAGTCAAGTAATGTATATGAATATGTATCACCCTAAATAATTCCCATGCCTACTGTGGGGTTTACATTTTGTAATTGTAGATAGCAATTCATTACTTAAGAGCCACCGTGCACTTGCTGATTCACTAACTTGCATACAGTCCCAGCCCCAAAGGAGCAGTCAGCACCATGTGACCTGCAAGCTTTGCATGGAACATGAACCTACTGCACTACAGCATTTTCACTTGGAAGTTAATCGTGTAGTTAACTGCACATTGACAAACAGCCTGCTCTTATCGGTTAATCCTACTGACTAGAAGCATTCCCTCCCCCCCCTTTTGCTGCCTTCTATCAGAGGTTGCAAAGCCGGAGCAGAGGACAGAAGTGGTGCCCATGCGGCGACAGCTTTTAAGTCAGCTCTCTGAGCTGCCTGCTTCCCCTCCCCCCTGCTGCCTCTGATAGAGAGGCAGCAGTATGGAGGGTGGGGGTGACAGGCGTGTCACCAGTACTAGGCACATTAAGTGGCGGTTAATTAGCTAATTGAGCAATTGATGGAATTTCCATTGACTACTCAATTAGTTCATAAGGGGGGGGGGCGCTCGCTCCACTGCTGCGGCTCTGCAGTTTTAATATAGTGAAGAGCCGGGCACACAGGCAGCCCCGC